GCCGCGAGGTGGCAGCCGCGACTCACACGTGGCGGCAAAGTTGGGGTTCACCGGCTTCGTGACCCAGGTCGGCACAGGCCTGAGACAGTGTCCACAAGGGACATGTGGGAAGTGGGATACTCCCATGAGCCCCCTCTGAGCTCCAGATTGGGTCATCCCTGTAGCCCCACGGCCACACCTCCGTGGCACTCAGTGCCGTGCCGTGGAACTTGCTTCTTCTGTGTTAGGTGACAAAGGAGGATGTGCCACCAAGTCCTGGGCTGAGTCCTGCCCCCCAAATCTGGGCCTCTGGTTGACCCAGCTCCTGCCTCCACAGGGAAGACTCAGAGCCTCGGGCGCTAAGCGGCCATTAGCATCTCCATGCTCAGGTGTGTGAGATGCTAAAGACCTGGGTGTGCCAACTCCTCCCTCTGCTGCCTCTGAGGGTCCTGCTGAGGGCCGCGCAGCCGCCTAGGTGGGCGCATCAGAGTCCAGGGTCTTGGGGTGTCGTTGTAGGTAGGGGTTCAGGATGCTGGGGGGGTGCAGTTCTTTGTCCTGCGCTCTGGGGTCTGTGCGTGGAGTGGTACCTCCCGACGGGCGGGCTAGGTCTGCCCTGGAGCCCACGCGCTGCTGGGAGTGGAATCCCCAGGGCACCCGAGAAGCGTGGCTCCATGGCCCCAAGGCCAGGGAGAGATGGTGACACTGGTTATTGGGGGCCCGTGTCCGGGGGTGGCACGGGCAGGACAGGAGCCCGTGTGCCTGGGAGTCCGCGTGGCAGGGAGCCCGAGCTCAGCAGGTAGCCAACAGCACTCGCCCCGCGGCAGCACCGGGTCCTGGGGCGGCATGGCTGAGCGCAAGGGCATTTCGGGCTCGTCCACCTGGTCATGGACGATGCCCACGGGCCCTCTGCACGGCCCACACGGCGCCCAGCAGCGGCGGTTCTGCAGCCGGCGGTGACCGCGAGGTGGCAGCGCCGACTCAGACATCGGCGCCGCGGGCTGCCGAGGGTGTGGCCGCGGAAAGTGCCGGGTTTGCCGCGCCGTGTCCCCGGGTCCTCCCCCCCAATGTCCCTCGTCCTCCTGCGTGGTTTCCCGTGTTCGACCACGAACTCTCCCGGGTCCGCCAAGGCCAGATATCCTGGGGTTCACAGGGGTCGTCAGGGAGATGGGGGCCCGTCTGAGCCTCCCCAGGCTGCACACTGAAGGGAGCAGAGGAAATACCCGGGGCCATGAGGGGTCCCGATGTCTGGAGGACGTGGCGCTCGGCCACAAGGGGCGGCCCACCGCACGTGGCACTTGTCCTGGGGGTGCCCCGTCCAGCACAGAAGAATCTCAGGGCCTCTATTTGCTTTGGGCGCAGACCCCGGTGCTGGTCACAGCCCTGAATGTGCCGGATCAGTTGTGTGTGTGGAGACAGCCGTAGCCGCGAGGTGGCAGCCGCGACTCACACGTGGCGGCAAAGTTGGGGTTCACCGGCTCCGCGACCCAGGTCGGCACAGGCCTGAGACAGTGTCCACAAGGGACATGTGGGAAGTGGGATACTCCCATGAGCCCCCTCTGAGCTCCAGATTGGGTCATCCCTGTAGCCCCACGGCCACACCTCCGTGGCACTCAGTGCCGTGCCGTGGAACTTGCTTCTTCTGTGTTAGGTGACAAAGGAGGATGTGCCACCAAGTCCTGGGCTGAGTCCTGCCCCCCAAATCTGGGCCTCTGGTTGACCCAGCTCCTGCCTCCACAGGGAAGACTCAGAGCCTCGGGCGCTAAGCGGCCATTAGCATCTCCATGCTCAGGTGTTTGAGATGCTAAAGACCTGGGTGTGCCAACTCCTCCCTCTGCTGCCTCTGAGGGTCCTGCTGAGGGCCGCGCAGCCGCCTAGGTGGGCGCATCAGAGTCCAGGGTCTTGGGGTGTCGTTGTAGGTAGGGGTTCAGGGTGCTGAGGGGGTGCAGTTCTTTGCCCTGCGCTCTGGGGTCTGTGTGTGGAGTGGCACCTTCCGACTGGCAGGCTAGGTCTGCCCTGGAGCCCACGCGCTGCTGGGAGTGGAATCCCCAGGGCACCCGAGAAGCGTGGCTCCGTGGCCCCAAGGCCAGGGAGATGGTGACACTGGGAATCGCGGGGCTGTGTCCCGGGGTGGCACGGGCAGGACAGGAACCCGCGTGGCAGGGAGCCCAAGCTCAGCAGGTAGCCAACAGCACTCGCCCCGCGGCAGCACCGGGTCCTGGGGCGGCATGGCTGAGTGCAAGGGCATTTCGGGCTCGTCCACCTGGGTCCTGGACGATTCCCGCGGGCCCTCTGCACGACCCACACGGCGCCCAGCAGCGGCGGTTCTGCAGCCGGCGGTGACCGCGAGGTGGCAGTGCCGACTCGGACATCGGCGCCGCGGGCTGCTGAGGGTGCGGCCGCGGAAAGTGCCGGGTTTGCCGCGCTGTGTCCCCGGGTTCTCCCACCCAATGTCCCTCGTTCTCCTGCGTGGTGTCCCGTGTCCGACCACGAACTCTCCCGGGTCCGCCGAGGCCAGATATCCTGGGGTTCACAGGGTTCGTCAGGGAGACGGGTGCCCGTCTGAGCCTCCCCAGGCTGCGCACTGAAGGTGGGAGCAGAGGAAATACTAGGGACCATGAGGGGTCCCCACGCCTGGAGGCTGTGGCGCTCGGCCACAAGGGGCGACCCACCCCACGTGGCACTTGGTCCTGGGGGTGCCCCATCCAGCACAGCAGAATCTCAGGGCCTCTACTTGCTTTGGGCACGGACCCCGGTGCTGGTCACAGCCCTGAATGTGCCAGATCAGTTGTGTGTGTGGAGACAGCCGTGGCCGCGATGTGGCAGCCGCGACTCACACGTGGCGACAAAAGTTGGGGTTCATCGGCTCCGCGACCCAGGTCAGCCCAGGCCGATGCAGTGTCCACGAGGGACATGCGGGAAACGGGGCACGTCCCCGAACCCCCACTGAGCCCCGATCCCCAGCCCCGCAGTCCCACGGCCCCAGACACTCCTGTGGCACTCAGTGCCGTGGTGTGGAACTTGCATCTTCCACTCGATGAAGGAAAACCTGCCACCAAGTCCTGGGCTGAGACCCGACCCCCAAACCCTGGGCCTCTGGATTACCCAGCTCCTGCCTCCACGGCCAGGACTCAGAGCCTCGGGCGCTAAGCGGCCATTAGCATCTCCATGCTCAGGTGTGTGAGATGCTAAAGACCTGGGTGTGCCGACTCCTCCCTCTGCTGCCTCTGAGGGTCCTGCTGAGGGCCGCGCAGCCGCCTAGGTGGGCGCATCAGAGTCCAGGGTCTTGGGGTGTCGTTGTAGGTAGGGGTTCAGGGTGCTGAGGGGGTGCAGTTCTTTGCCCTGCGCTCTGGGGCCTGTGCGTGGAGTGGTACCTCCCGACGGGCGGGCTAGGTCTGCCCTGGAGCCCACGCGCTGCTGGGAGTGGAATCCCCAGGGCACCCGAGAAGCGTGGCTCCATGGCCCCAAGGCCAGGGAGAGATGGTGACACTGGTTATTGGGGGCCCGTGTCCGGGGGTGGCACGGGCAGGACAGGAGCCCGTGTGCCTGGGAGTCCGCGTGGCAGGGAGCCCGAGCTCAGCAGGTAGCCAACTGCACTCGCCTTGCAGCAGCACCGGGTCCTGGGGCGGCATGGCTGAGCGCAAGGGCATTTCGGGCTCGTCCACCTGGTCGTGGACGATGCCCACGGGCCCTCTGCACGGCCCACACGGCGCCCAGCAGCGGCGGTTCTGCAGCCGGCGGTGACCGCGAGGTGGCAGTGCCGACTCAGACATCGGCGCCGCGGGCTGCCGAGGGTGCAGCCGCGGAAAGTGCCGGGTTTGCCGCGCCGTGTCCCCGGGTCCTCCCACCCAATGTCCCTCGTCCTCCTGCGTGGTTTCCCGTGTTCGACCACGAACTCTCCCGGGTCTGCCCAGGCCAGATATCCTGAGGTTCACAGGGGTCGTCAGGGAGATGGGGGCCCGTCTGAGCCTCCCCAGGCTGCACACTGAAGGGAGCAGAGGAAATACCCGGGGCCATGAGGGGTCCCGATGTCTGGAGGACGTGGCGCTCGGCCACAAGGGGCGGCCCACCGCACGTGGCACTTGTCCTGGGGGTGCCCTGTCCAGCACAGAAGAATCTCAGGGCCTCTATTTGCTTTGGGCGCAGACCCCGGTGCTGGTCACAGCCCTGAATGTGCCGGATCAGTTGTGTGTGTGGAGACAGCCGTGGCCGCGAGGTGGCAGCCGCGATTCACACGTGGCGGCAAAGTTGGGGTTCACGGGTCCTGCGACCCAGGTCGGCACAGGCCTGAGACAGTGTCCACAAGGGACATGTGGGAAGCGGGTCTCTTCCCCGAGACCTCACTGAGCCCCGGAACCCCATCCCCGCAGCCCCACGGCCACGGCCACGCCTCCGTGGTACTCGGTGCCGTGGCGTGGAACTCGCAACTTCTGTGTTAGGTGACAAAGGAGGATGTGCCACCAAGTCCTGGGCTGAGTCCTGCCCCCCAAATCTGGGCCTCTGGTTGACCCAGCATCTGCCTCCAAGGGGAGGACTCAGAGCCTCGGGCGCTAAGCGGTCATTAGCATCTCCATGCTCAGGTGTTTGAGATGCTAAAGACCTGGGTGTGCCAACTCCTCCCTCTGCTGCCTCTGAGGGTCCTGCTGAGGGCCACGCAGCCGCCTAGGTGGGCGCATCAGAGTCCAGGGTCTTGGGGTGTCCTTGAAAGTTGGGGTTCCTGAGGGGCCAGGGTGCTGAGAGGGTGCAGCCCTTTGCCCCGCGCTCTGGGGACTGTGCGTGGAGTGGCACCTCCTGACTGGCCGGCTGGGTCTGCCCTGGAGCCCACGCGCTACTGGGAGTGGAATCCCCAGGGCACCCGAGAAGCGTGGCTCCGTGGCCCCAAGGCCAGGGAGATGGTGACACTGGGAATCGGGTTCGTTTCCCTGGGTGGCACGGGCAGGACAATAGCCCATGTGGCAGGGAGCCTGAGCTCAGCAGGTAGCCGACCGCACTCGCCCCGCGGCAGCACCGGGTCCTGGGGCGGCATGGCTGAGCGCAAGGGCATTTCGGGCTCGTCCACCTGGGTCCTGGACGATGCCCACGGGCCCTCTGCACGGCCCACACGGCGCCCAGCAGCGGCGGTTCTGCAGCCGGCGGTGACCGCGAGGTGGCAGTGCCGACTCAGACTTCGGCGCCGCGGGCTGCTGAGGGTGCGGCCGCGGAAAGTGCCGGGTTTGCCGCGCTCTGTCCCCGGGTGCGCACCCAATGTCCCGTGGCCTCCGCCTGGGTGGTCCCCTCTGCGTCCCCCACGTAGTGTCCCCGCTCTGCCCACAGTTGACCAGGGTTCGCCTGTGTAGCCTCCCGGGTCTCCCCATCTCGTGTATCGTGCAATGTCCCAGATCCCCTCACACTTGATGCCGTGGTGGCCGGTGAGAGTCATTAGGGAGACGGGGTGCCTGTCTGAGCCACCCCCGGACACCCCATCTGAGTCAGGGCCGGCTGAGGTGACGTGGGGAGAAAGGCAGTACTTAGGCGATTGTCACTCCCCGAGCGATCCCAGCCCGGACGCCGCGAACCTCGGTCTCCGAGGTCTTCCCACAGTCCGCTCGCGGCGCGGGGTCCTGGGGGTACCCTGCTGAGCACAGGATTTGGGGGTCCTCCCCCTGGGTGTGGGCGCCCACCCCCGAGCGGATCGCCACTCTGCTTGGTGCAGATCCGTGGCAGGTGTGGGGGCAGCCGTGGCCGCGAGGTGGCAGCACCGGCCGAGGCTCTGGGTTGGGGTCCTCTTGCGGGCAACTGTGGGGATCGGCCTCGTCCTCATGTTGAGGTCCACCCAGGGCTAAGTCTGGGGTTTTCTACAGTCAATGCGGGGTTCACCCATGACAGAGGCTGGGGTCAGGTTTGGCGGGCGGCACCCCCACTTCATGGTGAGGTTCTCAGAGGTTCCTCGAGTCCTGCTGAGTTTCGGGTCTCCGGCAGGCGGGACCCTCTCTGTGGTGCCCACGCCTAGACGTGGCGGGCACACCGTGTGGGCACAGGACTCCAATCCCCTCCATGCGCCACGGGCGCTCCACGCTTGGGACAGCCGGGCGGGGAGCGGCGGGACTCAGAGCTCGGGTCTTTGTTCTGTTCCTCAGCCGGCGGAGCCGCGGGCGGGAGCGTGTGGGGCGGTGGGGACAGAGCCGTGACCTGCGGGTGCCGTCCCGGTGTGCACCTGGGAGCCGTGGGGCCCCGCGGGTGTGCGCGTCCACAGGACGGAGTGTGGGGGGACCCGTGTGCCCCGCAACGGGAGGCTGCCCCGCGGAAGGACCACTGTAGCCAAAACCACGGTCAGGGAGCTGGCGCGTGAGCGGGCGACGGGTTGTCCGCCTGGCCCCGCGGAGCCCTGGTGCCCACCCACACTCCCCACCGCCTGCTCCCCGTGGATCCCAGGGCCTGGGGGCGAGCGTGTGGTCTTAACACGGAGGCAGCCGAGCGGCTCCGAGTGCCACCCATGTCCGCGGTTCCGCCGGGAACCCTGTGCACGAGTGTGGTGCCCACCAGGGCTGGGCGGTGGGAGCGGGCTGCGCGGTCAGCCCCGCGGGACCCCTGTCTCAACCGGAGGGGGCTGTTTGGGGACAATGCCAAGCTGTGTCGGGGCTGCCAGGGGAGGGTGCGGGGAGCTGTCTTTGGAGAATTTCGATGGGGTGAGGTACGTGCGCTGGACCGTCCCAGTTGGAGGTGGGCCTGGCGGTGGCCCCAAGAACGGTCTCCGCTTTGATTGGCTGGCAGCGCTGGGGCGGGAATTCTGGGCGGGGCCAGCCCTGTTAGAAAAAGCCCGGGCTAGGGTGCGGGACAGGGCGCGGGTGGGGGTGGGGGTAGGATGGGGGAGCCCAGGGGAAACGGGGGAAACGGGGGAAGCGGGGGAGCCGAGGGGTAACCAGGGAAGCGGGGGAGCCGGGGAAACCAGGGGAAGATGGGGAACTGGGGTGGGAAGATTGCGTGGGCCAAGGATCACCTTGGAACTCTGGAGCCTGGCAGGAGCGGCCACGGATCGGAGGGGCTGGCGGGCCCGGACGCGCCGCAGGAGTGCGGCGTGGGGTGTGAAGGGCTCAGCTAGGGGTGCAGAGGAAAGAAGGGGGAGCCAGGCATTCATCCCGGTCAATTTTGGTTTCAGGACGTGGCGGCTGGTGGACACGGGGGAGCTGGAGAGGGGTTCGCCGGGCCTGGGCCGAGGAGTAGCTGGCAGCCACGGCAGCTGAGGACAGCGGTCTGCCGGGCAGGTGAGTCCCCTTCCCCTCATGGCCTCGCCTCCCTGGCCTTCCGCAACCAGGAGGTTCCGGGGAGCGAGGACCCGTGAGGAGAAGCGGCCGCCCGCCCGGCAGAGCGGCAGGAGGAAGGCAGACGGTAGCACAGGCGACATCGTCTCGGGGGGAGCCGAGACCGCGCAGGCTGGGGGGCCGCGGGCCCGCCCAGGTGCAGAGCGTGTTTCCAGAGGGCAGAGCGAGAGGAGGGGCTGCCAGCGAGGGCGAGGACAGAGGGCCCGCAGGAGCCCACCACCTGCACGGACATTCCAGGCCCGGTCACTTAGGACAGGATGAGCAGGGGGCTCACTCAGCAGGGTCCCCAGCCGCTACCACACCCACTGTAACTCACTCAGGAGCAGGCACAGGAGCGGCTCCGGCCGGCGGGCGTCATGGCCGCGCCGGAGCCTCGAGGGCAGGAGAACGAGAATGAGGGCGCAGTGCAGAGGGACGTCACCAGAGGGAATGGCAGCACAGGTGTGAGCTCCAGAGATTTCGGCAGCAAGGAGGCTGCGGGGCCCCGCCGTGGGCGCCGTTTCCACGTGGCACTGCGACCCGGGGGTGGCACGGGGAGGCCACGGTGATTTTGCGACACCGTGCATCTCCGTGCGGCCCCTGGGACGGCGTGATAGACAGTTCAGCATCCGGGGGAGTCAAGGACACAGGCAGGACCAGACTAGGAGAGGCGGGCAGGGCGGCGTGTGTGCGAGGGGGGGAGGGAGAGCAGGGCGCGAGCAGGGGCGCGGCACAGCGGCCTGGCAGCGAGCGAGGCGGGCGCTGGCTCCGGAGCCCGTGGCCAAGGCGGGCTACGGGCGGTGACGGAGCAGGGATCGGTGCCTCCGCGTTCGGATCGGAGACCAGGTGAGCGTCCGGTCTGCCCGCCCTTCCGCCTGACCCCCGCCCCCCGCGGCCTCTGCCCAGCCACTAACCAGCGCCCTCTGCCTCTCCTAGCCAGGTCTCAGCGGGGTGACAACGTGCCTGCCAGCCACGGAGGCCGGGCGCCAGGAGGTGTGCTGAGAGCGACATGACATGGTCCGGTGTGGCGGCGAGAAGGGAGCGGAGCCCTGGCCTCCTGGTCAGTGCAGGTGCAGGGCGTGGCTCCCAGACCCTCAGCGGTGTCACCTCACGCCTGACCTGTCTTTTCTCTTGTAGAACATCTCTGGCTGGCGCCCTGGGAGCGCAGCGCCCAGCTGGTCTCTGTCCTTTGCTTTCCGGAGGAGCCCACACAACTCTGGCCTCGGGACCTCAGAACCCTCAAGATGACAAGGTGAGCACCCCTGCTCCCCACCCCCCGCACGGCAGGTGGCACAGGGCCAGGGCTGGCACTCACTCCGTCCCCCCTCCCCTGCAGAAATGGTGCTACCCAGCTCACGCCTGGGCCTCGGACCCCGGACTTCTTCAAGTCCTTCTAGCTCTGACTCAAGAATATGCTGCACTTGGAACCACTAACCACCCGTCTCAGGAATCGGCTGCGAAGGTGAGCGTGGGTGCCCGGTCCGGAGGCATTGCCCTCCCAGCCTGGCCCCACCCTCAGCCCTGTCTCTCTGTCGACAGGTAGAGCAAAGGACTGAGATCAGCGACACCAGCACCACCGGACTCGAGCAGCTCCCGCGGCAGCACCTGCCCCCGCGGGCGATACCATCTTGGCTGCGCCCCAGCGAGGGCTGGAGACCACCCCAGCCGCCCGCCCGGCACCAGCACCCTCCTCTCCTCCTTCTTTTCAGAATTTCCTGTCTCCTTTCCCTCCTTTCCTTCTTTCTCTGTCCCTGGCTCAGCAGGCTCAGCGTCCGGGACTCCGCGTCCCCCCCATCCCCCTGATTCAATTTGCACTATAAGTCGTTTGCACTGGTTTGGGGTCCTGGACCGCCCCGAGTCTCTGAGCGTGTGCGTGAGTGTGTGCGTGAGCGTGTGCGTGAGCCACTGCCGAGTGTGCCGGCCTCCTCGGGCCGGTGCCGCCCCAGCGCCCCCGCCCTCCGTCACTGGGGGTGCTGGGTGCGGCAGAGTGTGTGGGGCCCTGCCCCCCCCTCGCCTAGTCTGGACGCTCCGCCCACCAGGAGCACCTAGCACTGCATTGTGCACCATCCTGCCTGTGTCCCTCCTCACCAGGCTTCACCAGAAGCCTGGCATCATCAATAAATCCGTTCCAGCACTTGGTCTCCGCGTGTCTTCCCTGCGCCGTGGCAGTGGGCGGGGGCACATGAACGGGGCATACGGGCGGGGGCACATGAGGGAACATAAGAGAACAAGAGGAAACAGGGGGGTGGGGGGTCACACAGTGGTGTGGGCAGCAGCAGGGCCTATGAAGTGGGTGGGACTTGTGCGAGGCTGTGGGACCAGGGGTCCCTGCAGGGAGGGGTGATGAAGAGAAGGGAGTTCTGTCATGAGAAGGTGGGGCCCCCCCAAGTCTCTTGAAGCTTGATTCTGCCATACAAGTGCCTCCTGGGCGACACCCGAGGCCTCCCCCCGCCCCCCCGCCCCCCATCCTGAAGGCCTCATCTTAGGGCAGTGGGCTTGATGGGGAGGGGCTGGGGGGCTTTGAACTCAAAGGGACACAGAGATGTCCCTCCCGCTCACACTGCTGTGGGGGAGCTGGGGGCTACGGGGAGGGGGGCACAAAACAGACATGAGGTTCTGCTCAGCGGCCTGGGGCTCCGAGGTGGGGGAGCTACTCAATAGCCAGGTGACAGCCAGCCAAGCAGAAAGGGGGGCAGGGGATAGGAAGGGGGAGGGAGGCAGGCAGGCAAGCAGGCAGAGGAGGAGGGAGGCCCGCAGAGGGAGAGGGAACAGGCAGAGGGGGAGGGAGCAGGCAGAGGGGGTGGTGAGTGAAGAGTCGAGGGAGGGGGAGGAGGGGAGGATGGGGGACAGGATGGGGGAGGTGAGGGGAACCAGGAGGTAGGAAGCGGAGGGTCTTGCACTGAGGCCCTGGCTGGGGCCTCCCGACTGGGCGGGCGGGCGCTCTGCTCCGAGCCCCAGGCCTCCCAGCTGGGGCCCCTGGCGGGGCAGCGCTGGAACATGAGGAAGCAGCTGTTGGAAATGAGCCTGGGGTCCTGGGCCCCTCCCGGTGCTCAGAGCCAGGAAATGCCTTTGCTCCAGATAAAGGCCGAGAGGAAAGCCAGGGAGCCCCTTCCCCCCAGGCCCCTCCAGCCCAGGATGCAAGGGCCTGAGAAACCCACCTCCTCCCTCGCCAGGCCACCCAGGCCCTGGCCCGGGGTGGGGGCCACGCCATCCTGCTTCCACGGACAGGCCGGCCTGCCGGCGGTGGTCACCACAGTGCACACGGGCGCAAAGGCCATTCGGGGAGGCCTCGTGCTGATGCCCTGGGCCCCCCACGTCCTCCCCAGGCCGCCAGCCCCCACACACCCCAGCGGGCTTGGTGGGACCTGAGGACCCCATCCGCTTGATGTCAGAATTTCGGGCTGCACACGGCCTTCATGACAAAGTGGGGCTGCCTGGTGGTGGGGGCGGCGTGGGCATCTGGAGGGTGGCCCCCATGGGTTGGGACAGAGCCAGGGGAGACATGAACACAGGGGATCAGGGCCCTAGGAAGGGGGCCAGCCCTTGGGGGTCCTGGAGTCAGCAGGGCGGCTCCTGAGGGAGCCGGGACCCTGTCCTGGTCACAGGACACGTCACGGTTACCCTCTGGGCTTCCACCTGGGCCCTGAGGCCTCTGGGAAAGATGCATTGCGGTGAATGTGGGAGGGAGGGAGTGCTGAGGCCCCCAGTGTTCCCCCCACCTTCCCCCTTTGGATGCACAGGCCGGGCCTACGCTGGGCGGCCTCACTGGCTTCTGCTCTTAGGGTTGTTCAGGCAGAGGGACCAGGAGGGAAACTGAGAGCCTGCAGGAACCCTGGGGGCGGAGGGGGGCGGGGGAAGCCACAGGCCAAGGCCTGGCTCTGCAAGCAGGCTCAGCCGCCCTGGCCGGGCTGGGAACAGGCCGCCCCCCCCACTCCCCCCCCCCGCCCCCCGCAGCTCCACGGAGCTGGGGGCTGCAGGCTGGAATGTGTTTACCTTTGGCCCGACCCGATTTCCTGCTTTTGAGCAAAGGGGCTTAGAGAGGCTGTTGGACAGGCCCTGGCCCCCACCACCGGCACTTTCAAAGCGCCCTGCGCTGAGTGAAGTGTCACGAGCAAACAGGGGCTTGAATTTCACTCCCCAGCCCATGGGCGGTGGGGGCAGGGGCCGGGGCCGGGCCGGGGCGGCAGGCAGGGAGTCTGGGGAGGCCCTGGGAACATGGGTGAGGGGGCAGTGCCCGGGCGCCCTGCTCTCCCCCCTGGGCCCCCAGCACAAAGCCCAGGTGCACGTTGGACCCCCCAGGGCTGAGCTGCCAGGCCGCCGTGTTTCCAAACATGTGTGCGTCCACATGTGTGTCTGTACATGTCATGTGTGGCCCTGTGTAGTCACACGTGTGTCCTGTGTTTCACTGTGTGTCCACGTGTGTCTGTGTGTCCCCGTGGCCTGTGCACAGCCCTCACGCCCTGTGCCCTGGGGGGGGTACACACAGCCACGTGTGGGGTCTCTGTTCGGGTCTCTGACCCGCTGTCCCGTCGCGCGGAAGGAAGGCACGGACGGGGGTCCTGTCTGCTTGGGGAGTGAGTGCTCGGCGGAGCCGGCTGACTTTTGTGGGGCCCAGGCCCGTGGGGGCCCAGTGTCCCCGGGAGGGTGGACATCAGCCTGGCCGTGTGGGCCTGGTGCTTGTGTGGGCTCACATCTGGGCCTGGATTGAATGGCCCCGGGGCCCACTTCCAGGCAGGGGAAGGGGGAGCTGAGGGCGGGGGGATTGGGACCCTGTTGCACCCCTGAACGGGGACAGCAAGCGCCTAACAATGCGAAGGAAATGAAACCCTGTCCACAGGCCTGACCGAGGCCTGGTCTGGCTGCAGTCACAGAGTCACAGCGCCCCGGGCCCGGCCCACCCCTGCTCCCCTCCCCCAGAGCTGCAGGGCGTCTGAGCCCCCAGAGAGGCCAGGGGGCCTAGGCTGTGGCCCCTCAGCAACCCGGGGCCAGGGCCTCAGCCACGGGTTCGAGCCCCAACCAGGCCCAGGCCAGTCTCCTCCATCTCTCGCCTCCCCTTGGTTGCAGGGTCCACGAGTGTTTTACCCGACGAGCTCCAGAGAGCCAAGGTCCCCAAAGGGGAAATCGAAGGTTCTAGAAGGAGGGTGGCCAGCACTGGCCTCCTCTCAGGCCTCGCTGACCACGCTGGCTGAGGCCCAGGCCGCCCCATCCCTCCTTCCTGCCTCCTCTCCTGCCTCCCCTTCCCTCCTTCTCTGGACCTCTCCCCAGTGCACCCGGTGCCACGCCGGGCCCCTTCCAGGTGGGGGGCCCGGGCCCCTTCCTGGAAGCCCACCTGCGGCCGGCTTGCTGGGAAGGGGCGCTCGGGGCCCACCCCACCCGGCGCCGTTTCCTGGAAGCGGCCCCTGTGGCTATTCTGCTCCTTGTCAGCACCGTGCTGCCTGCACACACACTGAGCCCTTGTCCTCGGGGGCCCAGGCCCATCACCGCACACCTGGCCGGACACAGGCAGGGAGCTGGGTCTGCAGGGAGCAGCCAGGGCCTGGGGCCGGACCAGTAAACAAACGTGGGCGCCAGGCGCAGGGGCCCTCGCCCCCGCTTCTGCCCAACGCCTCCGCCTGCCCCCCGTGCCGGCCCCTCATGCCTTCCTCCCACGGGGCAGGGGGCACCGTGCAGACTGCAGGGTCCTGGGGGTGCAGGCCGCGGCTCCCACGCTCTGTAGGAACACGTGCCTGGAGGTTGGGCCTGGTGGGAGCCGGGGCTGGAGCCAGACGGGGGGGGGGGGGGGGGGGGGGTGGGCGGTAGACTAGGAGAAGCGGGACCAGGGCTCCCCCTGCACGGGCCCCCGGCGTTGGGAGGGTGGGGGTGAGTGCCGCAGCAGCTTGGAGCCTGTGGGTCTGGTATGCAGCCCCGAGGGGGGAGGAGGGAGGAAGGATGGTGGGAAGACCGTTCCCTGGGTTGGGGCCTGGACAAGGAGCAGAGGAAGAGGGGGGTCAGTGGTGGGATGCCTGGAACTGAGACCCGACTCGGGGCGTAGAGCTGCCTGGCAGGGCTGCCGAGTAGGACGGGGGCACAAATAGGGGAGCCAGGACCCGGCGGGGGAGAACGGACTTGCGGGCCTTGGGGGGCCATGTTGCAGGGGGTGCCACAGCAGATGGAGGCATGGGGTGAAGGGGTGCTGGGGGACAGGGCTTGGGGGTCCCCGGCTGAGGGCGCGGGCGGGCCCAGCGCCTCCTTCCCTCCCTGCCCCCCTGCTCTCACGCGCAGACAGTGGGGTGGGTGAGCCTGCAGGACATGGGGCCGGGGAAGAGGGGCCCTGGGGTTTATTCAGGTGGCTTTCCGATCATGCCCTGTGTGTGCAGGGCCCGCAGCGCGGGAGAGGCACACAGAGCCCCCGACAGCGCCCCATTGGTTGGTGGTGATATCACCCCTGTGTCAACACCCCAGCAGTCGACAGCTTCCCGGCCAGGGTTTATGGAGCGGGACCGACCGCCGGCCTCCGCCCCACACCCCACACACTGGCCCACTGTTCTGGGGTCTGGGGGTGGAGGCCATACCATGGCGCCTTGGCGCTGCCTGTTCCGCAGCCCCCAGTCCCAGCACCCCCACCAGGAAGTGGGGTCCGCAGGCCTGGCCTCCACCGCCTCCTCTGTCGGGAAGAGGCCTGGAGGGCCTGGGGCACAGGCGGGGGCTTTGTGGGGCCGAGTGGCCTCTGGGGTGGGTCTCAGGCCGAGAGGGTGGAGGGGGTTCCAGTGGGCCCCTCCACACAGGGGTCAGCCCTCTGCCGGCCTCGGGAAAGCCAGAAGAGCCCCCGCTTTCCGGCCCCTATGCTCTGGTCGACATCCGGGGCTGCAGGTCACTGGCCAGGCCTCTCTGCCTCCAGGACAGCGGGGGGAGGCCGAGGGGGGCCAGGACAGGATGTGGCGGAGACCCTCGCTTCCCACTGATGGGGCCTGGGAGGGGGGCCCTTCTCAGAGGGCACCGGCTCTGCCAGGCTATGGAGACCCTGGGGAGGCCGGCAGCGGGGTGCTTGGTGGTGGGAGCCGGCAGGGTATGCTCCCCAGGGCCACTCCCAACACGCACCCCCCCACCCCCCAGCTGAGCAAGACCGCCCCGGCCCCGGGGTCTGCTGGGAAGAGC